AACCAATGGGGGACATCACGATAGGTTCACACTTGGTTGTTACTATTAAATTCTAGTAAGAGGCCTGAAGTCAAGAAAAAACAAACAAATAAACTAGTATTAAATGACCCAAAACAAATTTGGTATTTCCGTTTCCAAACTTGAACATACTTGAATCAATGAGTAACCAAGACGGGAAGCCATCATGCTATATTTGGTGCATGGCCAAACCCTGGGTGGGAACCAATCAAGCCACAGGCATGGTTGTGGTGAGTACTCAATGTGACATGTTAACAGCTTGTTGTACTCTGCAGGAGTCCCTGGGTAACCCTGAATTAACTCAATTTGGAACCATGGGCTGAAATGTTTTCAAAACCCTGCACTGAGATGTATAATTCATATTCTTTAGATTTACAAATACTGAGGGAATACAGCTGTAGACTGGCATAACAAGGTAAGAAAGAATTTAACATTCAACATAGTGGTTTTTTTTTTTCTACATACCACTTTTTTTTTCTGTCTCGCTTTATTTTACTCAATGTCTAATTCTGTTTCCATTCACCTGTCAGCAAATAGGCTGTAACATGTTAAGAGGTTTAGGCAAGGTGATAAATGTGTTGTTCATGTAATCACTGTATGCATGTGAATAAACCAATGACTCATGCCTACAACTTTTCAAGAGTCAAGGAAATGTATCATCATTATACAACACAAGGCTGTATATTGAAATGAAGGTTTGTAGTTGCTTAATGCTCACACATATACACACACACAGATCATAAAAGAAAAAAATGAACAAAATCAAATTTTTAAAGCCTCTGACTGAAAATTGAGACCACGCACACACACACACACACAGGACAGTTGTGTGTACCTAAGAGGGATTAGTATGTGTGTTTTTTGTATGTGTGTTTGGGTATGTGTATCTGGGGTAATTCGAAGGTAAGACCCTCTTTGAGAAAGTCATGTTGTGCAAGTCAAAGTCTATTAGACACAGAGTCAGATCTATCAGTGGGTTCTGGACAGATCTATTAAAAGGCTTGGAATTCATATCACAACAGCACAGACAGTGTTAGCACAAAGACTGTGATGGGGAAAAGCCTGCTGCGGGCTACTGGGGGAGCTGGAATCAGCAAGAGGGGAAAAGAAAAATATATTTTCACAACCCGTGAGTAGAGAGAAATGGCTTTCAGGTCATGATACATGCACTCTGATGGCCCCAGTGGAGGAATTTCTTAAAGGATGACTTTGAAATGTCAACACACCTTACTGCTTTTGTGCATACAAAAAGCCAATTTTTCACCACACTCCACTCAATTCAACTCTTTAAACTAAAATCTCCCACAAACTCTTGTAAACAGTAATACATTCTGTGTGTTTTAGCTTCCTCATTTAAATCAGCACATATATCTCTTCTTACCTGGAATATGGCTATCCAGGCATAGCCAATGTTGTCAAAGTTGACAGCTCCCTTGTGAGGGTTGATGTCTCCGGGGCGACACACATTATAGTACTGATTCCAGTTAACACAGCCGTTAACACCCACCACAGGGGCCGATCCAATCAGAGCTGAATTTTGGTGGGAAGCAGCCAATGAGCACTCTGCACCGCCCTCAGTGTAGGCCGGCACATCGTGGCAGCGCAGCATCCCATTCTCGCGGGCAGCCGAGCAGATAAATGGGCTGTCTTCACCTTCCTCGGACATGTAGTAAAGACTTATGGACAAGTTGTACATCCTGGATGGAAAAGGAATAACAAAAAACAAATAGCTATTTAGTTATAATACATTGTTTATGGATACATTTAGCTTCAGGATATATCATGACCTTTTTTTGTGTTTGTTTTAAAGATGTTTTGCTTGTATGTTTTTGCTGCAAGTTCTATAGTAGGTTATATTAGCAAAATACTGTAGATACACTAAAAACGCATTGATGTCCACTGTGAGGAATGAATCAGTCTCCCATTACAGGAAAATAGAATCTATAGTGATTTGTGATCATAAGCAGGGCAGTGGTTTATTCTTTAAGATATACTGATTTGTAATCATTCAGAAATAGTTTAGTGCGTGCCTAAGGGTTTAAAAGTGCTTTTATAGAAAAGAGAAATACACATATCCTCTCTAGGACCTTGACTGCAAAAAATAAAAATTATTTGGCTTTCTCAGAAAATAACAAGATATTGCTTGCACCTCTTGCACTGACTTTCTATTGATCCTATTGTACCCATATGCAGAATCGGATTATCCTTTGTGCTATATGTGAGCTCCCACATAGAAACCCGTACTAGAAATGAGCAAACAGTGTTATCAATGAGGGTGGACATATCATTGATCTTATTAAATCGGCACATATCCAATCACAGATGTTATCTTTGAATTTGCCACAAAACACCTCCAGCAACAACAACCAACTACTCCCACACTATTTTCACACTGTATCAACAATGTGTGTTCTCTTCTTGTACAGCATCTCATAAATCCTCTGAACAACAGACTAATGGGATAGATTAATCTTCTGTTTTATAATTGCTCAGTTGCTCAAAAACCACAATGAAGCTTCAACCAATAGGGTGAAATGTGTTAAACATCTTCAGTGGAAGCTGTGGACAGTGTAACTGCTCACTTCTATATTAGCTGACATGAAGTTACTACTTAGTTAAATGGCTGATTTCCTTTCGTCCTCATTGTAGCCCAAACTGCAGTTTGTTAAGAGCTTGAGAAGTAGCTTTTGCAGCTTGTAATCCCCAGAAGCAAATCTCTAACATCTAATCTTTTAATTTTAATCTTTTTGTTTTGATCAAAACCGTCACTACCCAGTTAATTCTCCTCAAACATTCACTTCACAGAGGGGAATTCACAGTTGCGCTCAATCTCATTTTGGCCACAACATCCTTGTCCTATCCACTCCTCCTCCATTTATGCATTCACATGTAGGCATTGCCAAATCAAGAGCTATCCCAGAGTGGAAGTGGACTACCAATCCCTCCAACAATGAGTCTGCACTGGTGTTTATTGATGGAAACCAAAAACTAGAGGAATAGAAACTGTCTCTTGCTACTTAGTGAAATATGATTTTGTTCATACGACATTCTCCCTACACTGTCTTTTCATGGTGAGTTTAGACTTAGAATATCTATGAATATGTAGGAAGTAGAGTGAAAAAAGGGAAACCACTTTGTCCCTTAATTTATTCAACTAATAAATACAGTTTACACACTTCAATCAAAAGGGGAAAATATTATACACTTAATAGCACATGCGTATGCATACTATTTTGCATTTAAAGTGAAACAGCACAAACAACTCAAAAGATTAGTGAGCAAGGCATCTATCTGTATCCATGGTGACAGCTGTTTCATGGTAGAAAATGCTGAGTGCATCCCACAGTTTACCTGCTTATTTATACCCTCCTCTTTAAAGTGGAGAGTCCTCTATAACAGTGAGTGGGCCTTTATGCGGAGTGACATTCACTCTTGAACTACTAGTGGGGAGGGACCAGTTTGGGAAAGGATCATCTTACTCTCTGCCAGAGTGTCTAGTGGTTGACTCCCATTATGTTCCAGCCATTCCTGTCCTTTTTCCCCTGTAATCTGAGTCATACTGTATACAACATGTTAGTGTCCTTATGATGTCTAAAAACTAACAGTAGAAAGAGCTAATGCATGAGGTTGAGTGTGTGCACATGGCATACTGCAATATAGTCAGGATTCACATTGTACTGGAGGTCAGACAGCCATTTGTTCTGTGAGAGAAAACACAGCATCCTTGGCTATGAAATATTAAGACGCTGTTCTCTTTCTGTCTTCCTCTCTTACACACAGCAAGGATTCAGCAACATGAACTCTGGTACAATGTGTACCATTACATCAAAAACAGAATTAGTTCAAGGATGTTGAAGGGACATTTTTGGCTTCCTGCGGTTGTGGACATTGAAGCAGTCTTTCTTTCTCTTTTGTATAATTTCAGTGCCCGCGGCTGAATTGGTGACTCTGATCTCTGTGTATGTGCATGTGTGCCTGTTCGTGTGTTTGTCTTCTGAGGGAGATAGTGGTTGTTTGTCTGCTGCTCTTGTCTTGTAAGACATATCTTGTCCTATTTACCACAAATAAGATATGTCTGGGAGAACAGGCTTATTTAATGTTTTCATAATGTGCGCATTGTGAAAGGAAATGCAGCTTTGTCATGTCATGTTTACCAAGTTTGCCCCTTGTCAAAGTCAGTCACAATATAATTTGCCAATTTGTCAACCCTGATACATGTTAAATCTATTTTGTAATGTTTACACTTCATTCCCAAGAGAGAGAGTGAAATGTTTCCTTCTGTTTAGTAATTTTCAAGGATTTTACATCCAAGGTAGTTATCATGTTTGGCCTGTTTAATTATCCTGTCCACAAATTTAAATATTTATTTTTTTTCACATTTTCTATTTTTTGCCTTTTCTGGACTGTTATGATTTAGTAATCTTTGAGTTCACAGTCACATCCCACAAGCCTATGTTTGAAAAAATGTATTGTAATCTGTTCAACCTTAACTTTATCTTCATCTTACGACAGGAGAATCACATCATCGGCAAAGAGGAAGAGCTTAATTTTTTCATCGAGGTGTTTGGTGAACTGGTGCATTGGACTGTACTCATTAATAAGTTTATAACTTATATAATTTTAGTTTATGTTAAATAACAGCCTTATCTCACTTCTTACTTCTCTCTCTATCTCTCCTTGCTTCTCCTTGTATGTGTGTGAGGCCATACGGTGGTTTTTATCCTGAGGGCGTGATGCAGTTTGCGTACTTGAGCACGTAACATTCTGTATTCTTGCTACAGGCAACAGCTGACTGTTACACCCTATGACAACTCAACACAAACTCTAACAAGAGAGAGCAAAGAGAGAAGCAGAGAGAGAGAAACAGAAGGAGAGGGAAGAAAGAAAGATCATTTTTGAGTTAAGTGAGCTGAGCATATTTGAAGATTTCATGTGTGAATGCTGGAGGCAGTGCTGGTCACCATATGTATGTGGAGAACAGCACTTGCAAAGTATGGTGGATTTTATCTGTTTGGGGGAATTTAAAAATTTACTGCAACTTCTAATTCTACGGATGGAGCTTGTATTTTCCACTTATCTCTGTTTTGTCTCTACTCAAGTAAAGAGAACTTGAATCAGATCCTATTCTCGCCAAAGTGCTTCTTCCCTCAAATCTAATATAGATTTGACCACAGTCTTGAAGAGGCAATTTCCTGGAGCCATTTGTGCTACTTCCAGCCCAGAAGAAAAGGAGCAAATGCAAATACTTTATCACAAGACCAAATTCCTTACGTTCTGATGTCCTCTCCCAGGAAGCAGCGGTTGCGCAGTAGCCCCGCCCACAGCTGGACTCCAACAATGCCGAAGATGAAAAACACAAAGAAACAGAGGAGGAGGACATTTCCCAGCATGGGTAGAGTGTCCAATAGCAGTGTCACCAAGATGCGCATACCTAAATAGTGGGACACAAAAAGAAATCAGAAGTCAGAAATTATTAATCTACATTTTTTTATGCTTAAGCATATACACACATGTTTAAAGTTCACATACATGATTGATTGATGAGTTTTGCATGCGGTGCAGCAGCTAGCCTTTTACTGACCCTCTAGTTATAGTACACCCTGACCACCTCTATTGATCTTGTGAGCATGGAACCCACAACTTCTTCCCCACAGCCAATATAATTACAAGTGATGACAATACTGAAAGTGACAGTTTGACGTTATTTCATCCTCCGGGAATTTGAACTCACAGCTTCCCCGTGGCTAGTATTATCTAACCACACACTTTCAGCATCCATCTCCAGTTGTCAGATGTGTTTAGCATCAGCAGAGTTAGGGATCTACTCCCTGAGGTCCTCACAATGTGTTCTGGCCCCTTTTCACTTTTATCGCAGCCTTGTCACATTGACCACACATACGGTATGGCAATTCCATACTTTTTCTGCTACTTTTGACAGTGGCAATGATATTTAAACTTAAATCTCGGTCTGTTTTTTGTAAAATATGTGACAGCCAGGCAGGTCTAATGAGATGTGATCATGGTTTAGGGGTGGAATAGAAACCAGAAAATCATACTTCTGGTCCATTAACTAATTTAATATCCATTTTCAATCATTGTCTGATCACCGATCTGTCTCTTATTATCTCGTGTTGTGACTGAGAGGTTCAACTTTTAACATACCAGCCTTTTTATATCTGTCAACCGGGTATTCTCTTTTGCTCTTCACAGTTTCTCACAAAATAGAGGTTACACAGAGGGGCAAAATAAGAACACCTTACACAGACTCTAATGATGCACAATTTTCATCATAAAACTGAAGAAGAGCAGAGTATGTCTGTATACATGCTTGAGGTAGACAGCAATACTCTAGAGACACTACAACATTGCTGTCTACTAAACTCACTGAGTAAACAGCACACAGATGCCTTACTATAGAGGCATCTGTGTGCAGTGAAATCTGCTCAGCAAACACAAACATTTGACAGCATCGACATCCCCTAAGCAGAATACTAATGGTTTCTCCATACACTATTTTGGGCATGCAGGCGTGATTTATTATATGTGCAATATGCTAAATTCTTTGGTTAGAACAGTACAGAAAGGGGTTAAAAAAATACAAAGACATTTCAAACTAGATTGGCGTTGCGTTCATTCCCAGAGTATATCGCTCTTTGTTAAAGGTAGGTTTAATTAAACTAATGCAATCGAATGGGGCACAAGTGGCAGAGCATTAGAAACAAAGAATGGCCATATATCTAGCAAGTCATGCCACTGGGATAAGTTATGTTTCCTAAGGCTGGAATTTCTGAAAAAAAAAAGAAGAAAAAAACGCTTTCATACTGCCAGGCAATAAACCTTATTTTAGCCAGCAGGAAACTGATTGGAATTGAATGTTGTTGAGAAGAGACAAAGAGAAAGATTTTAAATATAAGAAAACTGAATAATCCTCAAATATGTCAAAATGTTTTTTACCCTTTGAGATGTTGTGGAGGATTGTTGACTGAGGTCCTAATCTATGATACGATCTTGTAATAAATTGCTTATTAGATTAGATCTGAGAGTAATTAAATATTTTTATGTAAATTGTCATTGGTACTGCAGGAATTTAATCCAGTTATAGCAGAATATGTGCAATGAACCTTTGAGGTGGTATCCATGAATAAGCATGGGAGCTGGAGCTGTAGTTGTATGCTGAGTATATTTTAATTGCACAAGTGCAACAACATGTGCAATGTGTAAGGTCTTGGGCACAGAGTGTGTGGGCGTCTCCAAGCACACCTGCTATTCTGCTTCCTGTGTAACAGGGTGAAGTGGAATATAGATCAGAGGGTGTGGTGAGTAATAAGTACATTCTCCTTTACATTACTGACCTCCTCGCTCTGAAACAGCTGTGCCAATCACATGACAACAGCAGCTCAACATATGTAAAGATATTTCTTCAGGAAATTGTTGTCATATTATTATCATATTCTACTATGATGATAGAAATAAATAGCAAAAAAAAATTGATGTTTATATGACCACCTCAATCCAGCGTTGTTTTACTTTTATTTATACTGCATAAATGGTCAAATAATATTAGAAAATGTGACACAGCAGCATCTGCACTGTTTCTTATTTCCAAAATGAAACATGAAATGCTACTTTTAGTTAAAAGAACATTGAACAGGAGGCAATGACACACAGGATTAATGAGCCCCTTTAATCCGAGTTATAGCTGATGTTTGTAGAGGTGTGTGTGGTTAGTTTGTAGCAGCCTGGTGGCACTTCCCAAATCGCATGACGCAGATTCATCAACATATCTGTCCTGCTGCCTTTGTATGTCTGCAGGGATTTAATGAACTGAAGGAGGAGCTTTTCATACAGTGCAAAGCAGCTGTGCACAGCTGTACTGTTAGAATCATTCATATTCATTATAAATGCAGACTGACTTACTTTAGTGTAGATTTAAACTTATCTACTAGTTGGAGAGGACTAAAATGGTTTATTTACATTTTAAGAATTATTCCTCATTTCTGTGCATTCGCTCTGTGCTGGTTGCTGCACCGCCATGAAAAAATAGGACCCAGGGAGTGCTGCTCACTGTATCTAGGCTACAGCACAAAAACACATTTAACATCTGTCTAACAATGGATACTTCTCATCTACTTAAGCAGCAAGACAAACAGAGAGACAGAGTAATAGCAGAATGGTTAGAGACAAACAGAGACACTGAGTAAAAACTGTTTAACCTGGCTATTAGCCTGGCTTACAAACACTCAAAAGAGAAGAAAAGATGAGATGGACTGGAAGAGATTAAAAAAACAGAGAGGAAAAATTAAGTAAGCTGGTGTTAAACATCCTCATGGTGCCTCTGATTGTGTATACATGTGAGTATATGAGTCTGTGGGCTTTGGGGTATGTTTGTATCTACACTGACCTTGAGTTTCCAGCCCCAAGTAATACCTCTCACTGTCATCCTCATTGCAATTCTCTCCCTCTTTCTTCTCTCCATCTACCTCCCTGTGTCAGGCACTCCAGGGAGCAACTGGAAACTTGTTACAATAATATAAGTTTCACTTCACCTTATCCATTGCTGTAAAGATTGTTTCTCAGGGCTACTGTTAGCTTAGCGATAAGGTTAATGTTACATTTTCAGTCCTCACAGAGGTAGAACAAAACGATAAAGGTGTGTGTGTGTGTGTGTGTCCGTGTATG